CACCTCCTTAACCAATGGCTAGGATTATGCCAACACAATTCTCATCTAATGGCTACAAATCATTTTCTAGAATTCTCCACAATTTTCCTAGCCTAGATATTTCCATGGTAGTTTCTAAGTTGAACTATTCTAGATATTTCCATGGAGTAATCTAGAGTGGATTACTCTAGAATTTGAGCTAAACTACTCCTAAAGATTATTCTAGAAGTTGGGCCAAATAATAACTAAGCCCAATGGACCAAAAACTAATTAAATCAAGTTTATTTATTCAACACCCCCCTTAAACTTGATTTTGTAAACCAATCATATTTTGGGGAAGACATTTGTCCGGTGGCTTTGGGATTGGTGGAAGATAAACAATCTTTATCGGTGCTGGTGGCATCTCCGGTACATACACGATCTCTGCTAAATTTGACCAAGTAATCCTTGTTTTTTTCCCTTTGCTCATTCTCCAAAATATCTTCCTTCTTTTGCTTTTCTGGCACATCAACGAGAGTTTGTTTTTCTTTTATTGGAATTATTTCTCCTTTGTTTGTCTTCTTTGTTGGTACTCCTCTTGACTTGTTGCTACTGCTCCTTGGCTTCACTTTCTGTTTAATTTCTTTGTTGTTGTTGCTTCTTCCTGTTGATGGTGTAGATGCAAGAGTTGTTGGAGTAGGACTTGATGGAGGAGTTTGATCATTTCCATCCTGAACTGTCTGCCCTTCTGAGTCATCAACATTTCTAAAGAATACGCCTTCAACTTTCATTTCTTCAGTTGCTATATGTTTTTTCTTGGTTGTCATTATTTCATCCAATATAAAATTTCTTTGGGGTTCTATCTTTGATTCTGGCAGTGTTAGTACTGCTTCATTCTCCTCTTCTTCCTCACATTCCTCATCATCATCATCGATGTCGTCAGGATCACCACTACGCTTGCTATTACCTTCTCCTCATCTTTTTTCTTCATGTTCTTTCATCAAATCGGATTTATTTATCCACTTAGCAACTTCTGTATCTTCTTCCATATAATCAATATTATTAGCTTCAGCTTCAGTTTCTTCTTGATGTTCTTCTTCTTCCATAGCCTCTGATTTCTTTGACTCTAATTCATTTTGGATATCAATTCTGATTCTGAATTGCTTGATTCTGTGTCTAGATACCATGTATTCTCTTGTTCTCCTACATTGTCAATGTGTATCATCAACAGAGTGCCATCTTCTTGACTTTTCTCTTCCACATAGTTTGCCTTCTCCTCAATCCTCCTTGTAGGGGCTCTACATTCAGAAGCATAATGGCCGAACCTTTGACAGTTGTAGCACTTGATTTGTGATTTGTCACGCCTTGGTTGGAAGCCACCTCTTCCACGACCTCTTGTTGAGCTTTCTCCTCAATCTTCATGGGCATAGTTGTTGTTGAAGCCTATACTTCCACGTCCACGACCTCTTCCTCGACCATGATATCCTCCTCGTCCTATTGTGTTGCCAAAGTCTTCTTCCTTTCCTTTGAAGTTGAGTTTTGTCTTGAGTAATTGTTCACCAACCCCTTGCTTTTTCTTTTGCTTCTCCTCATATGCTTGTAAGGAGCCCAAGAGTTGCTCTATTGTCATAGCTTCCAAATCTTTTGTTTCTTCTATGACAGTGACAATATAATCGAATTTTGAGTCTAAAGATCGCAAAATTTTCTCCATAACTTTTACATCATCTATCTTTTCACCATTTCTTTTTAATTGATTAGTCACCGTCAAGACTCTAGAAAAATAATCAGAGATACTTTCGGCATCTTTCATGTGTAAAGTTTCAAACTCACTTCTTAGAGTTTGAAGACGTGCCTTGACCGGCTCAGCACCCTTGTAAGAGGTTTGTAACTTCTGCTTCCTTTGTGGTGGCTGCCTCCGAAATCTTCTCAAAAGCATCTTTATCCAATCCTTGATAGATGAGATAGAGAGCTTTCTTGTCTTTCTTTCTTGAATCCTTCAAGCTATCCCTTTGAGTTTGGGATAGAGTGACTCATTCTTTTGGCTCATCGTAGCCTTTCTCTACCACTTCCCACACATCTTGTGATCCAAGGAGGGCCTTCATCTTGATGCTCCAATTATCATAGTTGCTCTTGGTGAGCATATGGACTTGGAAAGGAACCATGTTGCTACTTGCCATTTCTCTAGAAAGGATCTTAAGGCTCTGATACCACTTTGTTGGGAGGAGGATATTTGAGAAAAGGAAAGGTTTAGAAAGATTTGGAGGAAGAGAACACTTTTATTACTACACAACTCTTTTTCCTTTTGGCTTTTTGGCTTGTTACAAAATGATGGAGGACACACCTATATATACTAGTGGCACCTCCTTAACCAATTGCTAGGATTATGCCAACACAATTCTCATCTAATGGCTACAAATCATTTTCCAGAATTCTCCACAATTTTCCTAGCCTAGATATTTCCATGGTAGTTTCTAGGATGAACTATTCTAGATATTTCCATGGAGTAATCTAGAGTGGATTACTCTAGAATTTAGGCTAAACTACTCCTAAGAATTATTCTAGAAGTTGGGCCAAATAATAACTAAGCCTAATGGACCAAAAACTAATTAAATCAAGTTTATTTATTCAACACTAACTTGACCAATTTTTATATAATGGTAAAAACGAAGGAATAAATAATGACAAGGACTGTTTACTGAAAAAAATAAAAAAATACTGATAAGGACTGAACCAATACTGGACAAATATTTTTGTCCTTATATTTAAAGTCAACTAATACCAAGTATCAGCTATACATATGAAGACTTCTCTTATCTATTACCATTCTGAACAAGAGTAACTTGTAAAAAGTAAATGAGTTATGGATAGTAACATTTAGAGAAGTCTTGATATGTATTACTGTTTCGAAAATCACATCTTTAAGATAATGCAAAACTTAATGTTAATATGTATTGTTACTATGCATAACTCTCATTATTTTTTACAAATTACTCGTCGTTTCTTTTCTTTTCTTTCTATACAAATGGGAATTTAACATATAAAATAAGGGTTATATACTTCTTCTGTCACTGCAGATGGGAAAAAGTGCAGCAACATTTATTTTTATCAAGATACGCGTCCGAATCCTGATGTGTTTTTTTTTTTTAGGCCAGGATACGACCCCAAATCCTAGTGTTAATAATTTGCTGCAACTTTTCTCATCAGCAGCGAAAGGAAAAATGACAAACCCATAAAATAATATAACATACCCAAACCCCTTGCCACTAGATGTACAAGTTACTCTTGTTCAGAAGGGTAAGAACTAGAGAAGTCTTCATATGTATTGCTGATACTTGGTTTTAGTTGACTTTAAATATAAGGACAAAAAAATTTGTCCATTACTGATTCAGTCTTTATCAGTATTATTTATTCCTTGGCTTTTACCATTATATAAAAATTGGTCAAGTTCCTAATTTCCTTAAAAGTTAAACAGAAGTTGGCCTTCATGAATTGTGTCTGTTATGTTTTCATTCAACCAAACATCCAAACAACTGGAGGAGGCTCTTCATATTACTGATTGTAATAGTATTTTATAATCTTGTTGCCATTGTGAAAGGGTAAATCAATAACCCTAGTCCCTAAGAATTCATTAATACAACTTCCACCTATGTGAAATTCAAAAATTTAAGCAGCTACATCTAGAATACCCATCATATATATCCTAGTTAGAATTGTTTATGTCCAACAACAGTTAACTTTTTTTTTTCTTGAGAATTGCTTCACTTGAGGTCGAATAGATTTTCCACTTGTTCGGTGTGCGTGATCTAGAGTGAAATTTTCAACTTATTTAACAATTGCAATCAGCAGTTAGATGGCTCCAGTAAGTAGGGGATGAATATGGCATCACTTGGTACTAAATTTTTATATCAGATTAATTAGGTAAAATGGAGAAGTTAGTTCAATTACAAACGGTGTTAAAAGTGAACTTGGATGGAATAAAATCACTCGGGATAATTGATAAGAAAAAAAATATAGAGGTGTAAGTGATAAAAGAGTAATCCACGTGAGATTTTTTGAACTTTTCTCTAAAATTTAATCAAAGTCTTATACTATCAGGTCTAATACGTACTATAAGGCTTTACTATCTTATACACCAAACATGTCCTTAAATCTTATACTATCAGGTCTTATCTTATATTGTATACCAAACATGTCCTAAATGAATTACATGATATCACTTGGAGTCTGCAATCCCAGTTGGCTTGAATTCTTGTATATCTTAATTGTTGCTTGAGAAAACTATGGAAATATAAAAAACAAAAACTTGAAATTAATTTACAGTGGCATCTATTTGTTGAAAAAGAAAAACGGTGAACAATAAAATCTATTAAACGACGTTTTATGACTCATGCCGTATCAGAATTTTGGAACACACAATCTAATATATCAAACAAATTAGGAAACGAAAACAACATGACGATCAATTATTTAAAAGGGAGAATCATTATTTAGAAGCCAACAAAATAACTTCTTAGACAATACACAAAGCAACAACTTCAAATAATAGTTAAATGATTCCAAAAGCAATAATTTATTTTCTTTAAACTGTAGATATTATAATAATAATAATAATTACCAAAAGAATTAAAAAGATAGACAAAAAAAGAAGATCGTAAACCCATATGCTAACAGCAGAAAAATACAAGCAATATCAACATAAAAGTTCATATGATACGCCCCATTATTGAAGTAACATGGCATTATATCTAGAGTTTAATTTTGATGCACTAGTGTTACTGTAAAGAACTTTTACACTTGCATTTCACAAAGTGTTACAACATCATTCAATAAGTTTGACTATGTTATTAATAACTATATGAGATCGATATCAAACTCATTGAATGATATGTTAACACACTATTGGATGCAAATATAAAAAACTTTCATATTGACAGTGTATCAAAACTAAATTCTTATATCAAATTACCTTAAAATTGGAGGTGGAAGAACAGGTAGGTATTAAAAAAAGTAACCTTTTGCTGATTTTCCAATTGGAATGCTATTCAAAAGAATGCTCTGGTGCTCAATATTGGTGCCTCCTGTGGCTCAAGGCCTAACCTAAGCTCAAGGTCTAAATCAGCTTTCTTCTCTTCAATCCTCTGCATCCCAACACTACCCTTTATCTCAGTGGTTGAAGTTAACCTCCCAACAAATGATGGAAGATGAGGAAGTTCTGCAGCACCAATTAACTTACCCCTTTGAGAAGCATGATCATAATCTTTGTCAGGAAAATTGAATGGCTTCTTAACACTACTAGCATGTTTTTCTTCCCCAGAATCCAATTGGAACAAAATTTTCTCTTCCAAATCAACAGGCTCATTGTCTCTTGTGTTCTTCATTGAGATGTCCAATGAAAGCAAATTTTCTTCAGAAGATTGCTTGAGCTTGGCTCTATCTCTTCTATGGATATTCATGTGGCCTCCTAGTGCCTGTGCATTTGAGAACCCTCTTTTGCAAAAGGCACAAGAATAAGATCTAACTTGTCCTGAACCACCTTGATCATCTGAACCCCATCTTATTTGCTCAGATTTGTTAGAGTTTGTGGTATTGAAATCCATTTTTTCTCTGACAAGTATAGAGGAAGTAGCAATAAGAGTTAAAATTAACAAAGCAAAAACAGTTTGTTGTTAATGGGGTCAACAGATATTGGCTAAAGCAAAATTTATAATAAGATCGGAAAACTACAGAAGATATGCACGTACGAGGTTTTTTCCCTTATTTTATTATGTCAGCTGAATAATATAGTTTACAACTTAGGTCAGAGAACCTTAAATATAATTGAATAAAATATTAGGTGCATCTTTTTTACTCATTCAATGATTCTACTAGACATCTTCCTTTTGGATTGTCTTGAGAGGATCAATAAGAATTAATATGATTTTCATCTTTTGCTCTTTTAGGCCTTGTGAAAAGCTAAAAAATGTTTTCCCAGGGTGAAAAGTTAATTCAGGTTTTTACTCACTGTGTTGCAGGCAAATACAATAATTATATGTCTTTGGAGAAACTAGCTATCAGTTTATAAAATTGCAGCTGTCACTTGCAATTAATGTTTTTGGAAAAGAACCGCAATATTTGAGATATAGAAAACCGAATAAACTTTTTGGCCTATCTGTAGTGGCATTAAACTTTTCATTTACAATAAGGTGATATACATCTATTATCAATTATGAAACACAAAAGGTATTTTAAATAATTTTTTTTCCAAGGTTGTGATAGTTTAACATTTTTCTTTGGTACATAAGTTTGAATTAACTTTAAAATTATGTGGTTTGTTCGTATGGTGTTAGAGTCTCTTTAATAAAATGGTTTAATTTATTACCTGATCTCCTAATCTTTCACTTTTCGTGTTAAAATTACCACTTGGTACAGATGAGTCTATCGTTAATTAGTTCATGTAAAAATCTAAAGTATTGTGATATGATGATAGCTATGCCATTCTCGAAATATTAAAACATACATTTCTAAACTTTCATATAACCATATAAGTCATCAAATGAGATATGCTAGACTTTATTGTGTTTTCTTAATATGTAAGCAAAACTATGGTACATAAATATCAATAATAATAATGTCTTTAACTAACTTCTATTTCTACATATCAAAACTTTTTTCAACAAAATTGAAAGGAGGAGAAATCGAAAGAGTGGGATTCAAGGACTTACATGTAACTAAACTCTTAGTCGACGTTTAACGATACTAATATAGTATAATTTAAAAAGTAGAAAACATTCTTAACAGCTAATGATATAAACAAAAGGATGAGTGACCAGTCCAATAGCTTAAGTTAAGATGGATAAGAAAAACATATCTGAAATTCAAGCCTTTATTATATAGTGGTTGTATATCTTGCTTGCGCTGCTTTAATATAGCGGCACTTAATCTTATTGATGAACTAAGGTGGCCTCTATAGCTTATTTCATGTGTGAGATGCTTGCTTGTGGCCTATGTCTTTTAGGCATAGCTGAAATCACATGCGTGTCCTTTTGCCATTGGCTGTTGAGGAGATTGTATTGTGATGATAAGTCCAATGGATGATCTGTACGCAATATGAAAGCGTTTCCTTATTCTCTTAAGTCTTGGTTATTAGGCCACATGGATCATATATGGGTTGGATCTAATATCCCATTTAGAATAAGTCCAAATATATCATTGAGCAAAGTTTATTTTAATTTTTTTATTTTGCTAAGTACGTAGATTCAAAACTGAGAGATATAAATAAAATATATACTTTTCTAATTGCAAAAAAAAAAAAAAAAACTAAAAAGATACAGATGGACTGCACGATATTAGTGCATATTAGTTAAAACTTAAAAGGAAAAAGACAGTTAATAAAGGGGGAAAAGAAGATGCTTGAGAAGTCATAGTAGACAGCTATTAAAACGAGATCATAGGAGGTTGTCGTTATCTTTCTAAAAGAATGTTTAGAGTGCGTTGGAGCAAATTGAATGAGTTTTGAAACTCGTACGTCTCATGCATTGCCGTACGGTTGGATATATGTATGAACAACTTGTAATATTTACATATTTTCATGCTTTTATGGGTCAAATATATATGAAAAAAAAATTACATTCACTTATCAAGATTCTCGCTTTCTTCCCATACGATGACTTGGGAAATTCACTTCCATGCATACAAAAGTGAAAAGTTAGAATAAACACTCGAATTTGTTTATGATAAATTGGTTGTAGATATTTTAATTTATAAAAACAAATTTAATTATTCTTTGCCCCTCAAATTAAAATTATAAATTTTAACGATATTAGTCATTATTTAAAGTTGTTGCATGTATGTAGCGCATAAAGAATAAGGGTTTATTGTTTATGCTTTTGTGTAAAAAAAATTCTCAGACACCCTCACATAAAAGTGAGTGGGTCTCATTAATCTTTTCAATCTTTTCTCTTTATAACGAGATCTATTCACTTTTATGTGAGTGTGACAGATCAATTTTTCTGCCGTAAAGGCAAAAAAAGTTTTTCCAAAGAATAATACGACTGATATTTATAGTTTCATAAAAAAAATTGTGAAACGTTTTTACATTCATTGTAAATTTACTCATTGTGATTGGCCTTAAGAAAAAAACAAGTATCCAAATTTTCCTATATATGTGTGAGAAATATAAAATTTTTGGTAGTGCATATATCATTTCCCAATTTGGAAGCAAGATGATATAATTGGGCCTGTGGCGTATTTGTAGATGCGGAATATATTTAATGCCCTTCGTACTCGTATTTCGGATCTTTGGGCGGTTGTTATGATGCACTTTCCAAAAGTAAAATAACAATTAAGAGAAGTACCCAAGAAGTTTAATGAAGATTGGCAATTACTTACATTCACAATATAGAAGGAGATACTGGACACCTTCTAAAAAAAAAGGGAGATACGCAATCGAATATTGATGAAGAAAATAAAAATAAGAACTTTCGTATTTTTGAAGTCAAGATTACGATAAAAAATTCACATCATGAACTTTTGCTAGATGATGTTAACTAGGTTTTGAGCTTCTTATGGTTATCAAAGCCAACAGTATGGATCAGTGGCGCATGGATCAGTGGCGGATCCAGAAAATTTTCTTTTTGTCCGCACATTTAGTGGCAATGGTTCAGAGGATAGTTTGACCAATTTTCTTTGTGGTATCAAAGCTATAATTTTTTTTTTTGTAAAGAAAGTTTAAATCAACGCTTTGTGTATAAGGTTATGAACTCGCTCATATTCTAGTTGCTTCCATAACAAGCTGCAGGAAATAGTTTGACCAATCATTTCTCCCTATATCTTATCAATCCTTTAAAACAAATATGAGAATATACTCCAATACATCAATACATCATCATTCTATTTATAATGGTGAATAAAAAAGTCAACACTACCTATACAGAAGGCAAGCAAAATCACAGTGAAGGCCCTCATCTCTAGATATTAACTTATTTGAGAATGTCACACCTGGCATCAATCCTCTCTTTTTAAGCCAGAATATAGCACCAAAGCTGAAAGAAAACATGTAACACCCTGTATGCACCCGGCGTATTAAACATACATATAATGACGAAGCTAAATAAATGCGGAAGCTAACTTTTTCTTTTCAATTATGACGTCATCGTTATTAACCAAGTTGATTATTTATTCCTTTTCAAAATATAGCCTGTATGTAAATTGCAATCAAGCTAACTGAATATCCTAATGAATAAATGTGTATCTAGTCACGGAACTATAACACGTAGACCGAACAATAATCTTGATACATTATACAACTCAAATAAAATCAGACATAATTGATGTCAATGCGGCATGGACAACCCCCATGCTCACCAAATAAGGCAACAAAGCCAAACAAATTCTCAAATCCGATAACAAGATACTGAAAGTAAAACATGATCAATATCCAGACATGTTAGCTATAATCATGCATAATCAACTCAACTCCAGCCTCCTGCCGCTAGATGTATCCACCCCAAAGGTACCTGTACCTGAAAATGTGCCCCATCACGAGGTGAGATCTCTAAAAAGAAATCTCCGTAAAACAAGAAGTCCCCAAGGATCTCTCCACCCCAAGCTCACTTACATGTGCAATAGAGGTTCCAAAACAGAATAATAATATAATTTCCAAAATCTGTGCAATGCAACATATATCCATGTCATGTGTGTAATAATCCTACTGCCCAGAGAATAAAATATAGGGATTACATACGTCTACAACCTACATTACAAGGAACACCGCTTGCACCTCACCCATAGAGTTACCATCTTGTATGTCTCCACATACTCATGGGTTACCGTCTAGGTGGTACACCACATACATGTTGTAAGAACCCGCACCGTTAATTAAGGAAGTTAATTAATTAATTATGAGAAATTAGGAAATAATTCCATAATTGACCCTAATAATTATTATAAGGCTTAAATAATATTGGTAAGTGATTTATAATGCTGAAAGTCATTTTTCTGATGAAAAGTGCAGATATCGGTTCTGCTACTCGGTATAAATGCGTACCGATGAAGTATTCCAGAATATTATAATAAGTGTGTATATGTCACTAGAATAATATATAGGACTTGTAAAACAAGTTTCAAGTTAAAATAATGAGAACTGATGCCAGAACTAATACTGGCTATGGAAAAGCGCGTACCAGAAAGGTGCTGCGAAAAATAAAATAAAAATATAATAAATCTTAGAAAAATGAGTAGGTTCAGACTCCTAAGTTATGTAAGAACCCGCACCCTTAATTAAGGAAATGATTCCATAATTGACCCTAATAATTATTAAGAGGATTTAATAATTATGATAAGTGATTAAGAATGCTGAAAGTCGCTTTTCGGAAGAAAAATGCAGATACCGATTCTGCTAGTCGGTATAATTGCGTACCAAAAAAGTATCCCGGAAAATTATAGTAAGTGCATGATAATTACTAGAATAATATGTAGGACTTGTAAAACGAGTTTCAAGTCAAAATAATAAGAACTGGTGCCAGAAACTGATACTGGCTATGAAAAGCGCGTACCGAAAAGGTGCTCCGAAAAATATTATAAAAATATGATAATTCTTGTAAAATTGAGTAGGTTAAGA